ACACCTTTCACATGTTACGGGCATGAAAAACTGCTGAAAGTTTTTCGCCTGGCATTTTTGCATGACGCGTTGAATAGTTACCTGCTGCACAGAGGTAATGGGTTAATTAAGGTTTTTGCCAGCCAAACTGATCGCCGACTGCACTGGGGGCTAATTATGTAGCATGAAATGTATGAAAAAGTGCAAGTAAATTGATTACAAATTGCAAAAGTTATGGACGGGCCATGGTCAATGACGTTGATATTTGAAAGGAAAGTGAGGTTAAGTTGCAGCATAATTGAGGTTAAGGTGAGCGTTCGTCAGAGTGTTCATGAAAGGAAAATTTAATTGAAATTGCATAAGTGAGTGAAATATAAAGAAAAAAGTTGTTAAATGAAAGCAGATTAAGTATTGAATGGCTTGTAGAGTAAAGCATCCTTAATGAAGTAGGTAAAATACAAATAATTAGTATTTTGCTAGATTTATCTAGTCAAGAATTTACTTAGCGATGTCGGTTTTTTATATGCAAATTGAGTTTCAATTGTTATAAATTATACAAAACTTTCTTAAGTTGTCTTCTTTTATATCGTATTCCGGTTTTGCTTGCCTTGGCTGTTGACTGACCGGCGCCAAATTATGTACAACATCCGACAATTGTGGATGGTGCGATAGCATATCATGGTCATACTTATAAACGCATCAAGAAATCAGGGAAAAAAGCGAAGAAAAATCATTGGTTATTGTTAATTTATTTCCTTTTTGGCTTTAGAATTTTATTTTATTGACTTTTGCTTGCGCTCCGTCGAACTGTGTGCGGACTGTGCGGACTCTACGGATGTGGCGTTTCCGTTGCCGCATGTGCCGCACACACGACCCAACTGCCGCACAAAAGGAGCTGCGGGTCAGCGGGCGGGAGACCGGCAGAGCTGCAGAGACAAGTGTGGCATCACCATCACATTCTTGTGTTCAACTCAACCATAAGTCGATACACTTGCCGCCCATTTCAATTCATTCATTTAGGCCATAAAGCGAACGCCCCTCATGTGTCGTCGATGCCCGACCAAGATGTCCTCGAGTTGAGCTTTGTTGTGGGTGGTGGGCTGACGGGGAAGGTACCAGACTACCCCCAAATCGATTTATGGGCATTTCCGGGTTGAAATCACTTAAAAGAACAGAAACGGGGTAGGCCGCTTGTTAGCTACACAGTCGGAGCGATGTCTTTTGTGCTCAGCCTTAAGGATCGCATTCATATGCACGCATGCCGCTGTCTCTTTCTTTTTGAAAGAGAAAATTTGCGCAAATTTGTTAGCTTTATAAAATAAATATTGCTGGGTTGAATTTTGAAGACTGGCTGGCGCGAGTCGCTTGACTTGAGGGGTTTGTTTTGAGACGCTTTTGACTCGCACAATCTACTTAGGACACAATGATTTCTGATGCCTTTTCAAAAGATTCTCCATCTGCGGTTTGTTTTTTTTTTTTTTTTTATTATTTTTGGTTGAGTCATCTATAGTTTGCTCCTCTCCTTTTTTTGCGCTCTGATTGAGTTATTGTTATCAGACTAATGGAAATTGTGCGGCCAAGGCTGAGTTGAATAGATAATTGAATAGGACTCGCCCTTCATTTTAGCTAAAGCTCTTTTGCTTTTGATGATTATATCTAGAGGGAACGAGGAGCGGCGCACTTAATTAGGCAAATTAGTAACTCGATAGACAGAAGAGGTTCCCTTCTCACATTCGAATACCAATACCAAGGAATGTGGGTTTCTGTTGAAATAGTCTCTTACCTAGGCACCCACATTTTAAATACGTTTTGCATTTTCGTTTCTGATATCAAATAATTTGTTTGCGGCTGACACACATATTTGTCTGCATCATAATTATTTATAGAGTTTTATGACTCGGCAGGACATAGTCGGAAAGTTTTCATTGCCCTTGTAGCACTTAGCAATAATGTTGTCTACGCAGTGGCTTTTGTCTACTTTAAACCCATTTGGCACATTGTATTTAACTCAAGTGCCACACAAATATGCGCACAAAAATTCTATACATAGACCGAAAGGAAGGACGACACTGCTCCCCGAACAGCTGCAGTCGCACTTTGTCAAGCCACCCGATTTTTGGCTTTATAATTTTGATGACTGTCATGTTTACACTTTCAATAAAAATGCTGTAGCTTAAAAGGAGGGCTGGGTGAAGGTTGGGTGCCAGAGCTGCCCCTAGCTGTGTCCGGAACCCTGGCCACAATTATGGCCTTTTAACCCTTTTGTCAACAACTTGAGTTTATTTGGACTTTATATGCACATGGTCCGGGCTCTTGTCGCCGTCGGGCTTAGCTGTCTGGGTTTTTAGCTGATGCTGGCCAAAAAATGCCTTTGAGCATTGTCATAAGCGAGTTTTCGCACCACCCTCACCTCGTCCACCCGCCTGGCCAGCATAATAATTTTATATGGTTTTTGGCTGAACATTTCTGCATAGTCAGGCAAGGATGCTGCGGCAAAAGAGCTTTGAACATTTTGTATGGCTTGTTACAGCAGACGAGAGCTCTGTCTGTCTCTCTGTCTGTCCGTCCTCAATTGCATATCAAATTTGCACTGATTCTAGTTGTTTTTGTTTTTTGTGAGCATGAGTCATGAGTCTCCGTCCCACCAGCCAAGCAAGTTCTCCTATTAACCACGCTGAACATACATACATCTCTTACATAGATAAGTATATAAATAAATGTATATTTTTATATTTGCATTTTTCTGTTGACATTTCATTATGCGTTGACAAATTACCCACCCTCATTATTAGGGGTTGCAATTCTGCTGATTTTTGCCAACTCACGTAATAAAAATAATAATAATAATAATATTTGGATTTGATTTTGCTTGGCAATCGAATGAAACCCCACAATAACCCCGACGCGTGTTTATAATTTACGATAATTGCGCTGACTTTTGACATTTTCAATTAATTTGAGTTGAGTTGAGTTGAGTCTGGGGCCCGTATGATTCGAATCCTGCACGACAACAACAACAACAACAACTTTTTCAACAGTTGTCGATATATTAATTAATTAGCCATATTTATGTAGAGGGTTTGGGGCTAAATTGTGTGGATGGAATTTGATTTTGTTTACCCGGCTCAAAGTAAAAGGTCGATTGAACTGCTCTGATTTGCTAGACTACTGAAATTTATGGGATTTGAGGCATTTGTTGCTTATAATTGGTTCGATTGCTGAGCATATTAAGCTTGCTGAAGTCAAGGGGCCGGCAAGCCGGCAAGAGCTCTTGGCCTGATTGTGGACGTAATGAGTTATTAGAATAACAATTTATATTATATTTATTCTCATTAAGTGACGAATACTTACTCATTATTATTTATATATATATTTTCCCTCATTTCTTATCTATTAGTTTACCTCTTTTCTACCATTTCTCGTAATTTAATTTAAACTCTAGAAAAACTCAGTTTCCAATTGAGTTTTCCTTACTTTGCGAGCTAATAAACCAGCTTTGCTCTGGCTATAGAAAGTTTGTCAAGTACTTTCCATAAAATCAAATTTATGCATTACCTGCAGTTCGCGGCATCTATTTGCCATTTCCCTTGGGTGTCTGATATTATCGCCCCTTTGGGTTCGGCTCACACTTTAAATAGGCATTAAATTGATACAGCAAAAAGTTTTCCGCTTTTTTTTTGTCGCAATTTTCCTTGGCGCACATTGCAACCCTCCCAATGGAGTTGCCAGCCCGTCGCACAGTCTAATCGCTTTATAACTTCTAACGCAGTTTATCTGCGCCGATGCTTTCTGGCACACCCGCTCTCGCGCCTCCACGAAGGGTTCAGCCAGGCAAAGTTATTGTTAAGTCTATGAGAACGTCGCTGGCACGCACTAAGCACTTGATATGACAACGTCCTCACTTTATCGCACCTCCTCCGCCCCCACCTCCTGCCGCACGCTGGCATCTGCTAAATCTCCATACAAAATGTTCACTCTTTCTGACTGCCTGCATCTAGAGTGTATATCGCGTGCTTTGTATTCTTTTTTCGCACTTTTTGCAATGGCCTCTCGGTATTTATAGCATTTCCAGTCTGTCTGGCATTCCTTTTGTCCGGACCAGCTATGCAGGCGGAAATTATTGTCGGCGACTTCTTGCATTTACTTTTTATACACAGTTTTTTATACCCTGAGACCAGTGAAAGTGCATAAATAGGGTATAGCAATGAGTAAATGTAAATATAATGAGGTGATTAAGTATTTCTTATAAAGTATGAACCTGATCGGCATAATGAGCTGATTGGCCGAGATATGTTTGGCAGTCCATCTCTATATATTATAATAATAATTATAATTGCTGAGCCATTGCTAAGAATAATTATAATACGCATGATGATGATAATGATATGATAATGATAATATAATCATAATAATAATAGTAATGATAATGAAATTGATTGATCAACATGATAATGATGATATTAATGCTTATGAATAACGCAATAAACATAATGCCAATGATAATAATGATTAGATTCAGGGTGCTTTTTAGTCGTGCACTCCCGCTTCTCAGCCAGTTTTTCTTTGCTCTTTTAGCAGATGCCAAAAAGTTTTCGACGCCGCTATACAAAAAGTTGCTACACTTTGTGGCATGTTTTCCATTTTTTCCACTTTTTACTCTGCTTGCATTTTCCATAAGTTTTGTCTGAAGCTTTTTTTCTCGTTTCTGGTTTGCGGAAAAAGCGTAAACAGATTTATTTATTTATATATTTATTTACCGCGATTAGTTGGCTACATTTTTTTTATGGCTATTCAATGGAGGGAAGTACCCCAAGCTGAATGGACTTACTCACCTGAACCTCAGATTAGCCCAGCCCTGAAGAAGATAAGAAATGTGTTATTATTTTTACAAGTCAATGAATCACAATGATTCATAATAAACGAAATGGCCAGGCGATAAGATAACTAACAACTCGTGTGCATCACCTACAAATGTTATCTGATAGGCAATCAACACTTTGCTCCCAGTATATATTGACAACTGCTGTTAGGAGTGGGCACAGTACAATTGTTTTGCTCGTGGAATTAAGAGCTCCAGTTAAGCAAAGGATTACAAGAAAATTAAAAGTGAAAATAATGCCGCCACCACATCACGACGACCGCCTCTTTGGCATCCATTTGGGATTGCACTTGGGACACCATCATAGTCACCATGGACACCATGGACACGGACATCCGCCGCCGCACCATCATCATCATCATCATCACGGACCACCACCGCCGCCGTTCTACGATCATCATCATCACCATCATCATCACGGTCCACCGCCACATCACGTACACCATGATTATCATCATGGCCACTATGAGCATCATCATCATGGACCACCACATCATCACTGCTAAGTGTTGACTTGGAATGCGATGGGCCACAAATTTATCTATTCTAACTATTGTGAACTGCCTGTGAAGTGAATTTACATACATGTAAATGTATACATTTAATCACGAATTTTATTTATTAAACACAAAATACAACTATATTTATATATGTAAAATATATATAAAAAAAATATATAAAAATAATATACAAAATATATATAAACAAAACCTAAAAAATAATTCTTTTATTGCTTTCAAGTTTTAGTGATTGAAAAGCGCTTAAGAGCACTGCAACAAAAATGAAAAACAAAAAAATTAAATATGTTTTCATCAAAAATATATATTATTGAAAACCAAAAAGTCAAACAAAATTATTAGTCATAACAAAAGTAATATATTTATAGAAATAATAGCTTACTAATTACTACAGCTGCCAAATAAAACGATAAATAATTAGTATATATTAATAGCAATTGTGAAATTAGAAAACTGCGCAAAAAGCTTATCGTATTTAAGGAAGATACTTGATATCTTATCATTTGTTAACGAAAAAAAAACATTAGACATAAAAAAGCACTAGCAATTTAATATTGGAGTCTAAAGGTTAAATAATGTTTATACACAAATATTTATGTATATATACATTTGTGTATATGTGTGCTATTTAACTAATAAGTTAAATAATTAAACCCAATAATGAAGAACAATGAGTCTAGTTCATGCTAACCACGCATGAAAGCGAATTAGTCGCAGTGACAATTCAATTAAGGTGGACCATGTGTGAACCCCCACGAGCTAATCGCGCACTAAGCGCATAAATATAAATGAAATTATATATCAATGAGCCATACAAATGTTGGCCAATTACAAGCCATTAGAACTGTTTGGCGCAAATTGCTAATTAGCTGCAAGCAACAAATGTGTAATTAACTACTTTTTATGCAAAGAGCAATAAAAAGGAGGGCAACTGTCATAAAGTGCAAAGTGTTGACCATAGACGAGTGGGACGTTGATTCGACACCTGGAAATATTGGTAATTAAAATTCGCCAGCTCGAATGTCTAGTCACTCGCCGTGGACGTTGTCTAATAATGTTGTAAAACATGTTGCTGTTAAATAAAGCGACAGACGCTTGAAAAAATATGTATACGCCCCGAAGGCAGCAGCAGGCGTTCAATTTTACAGCCTCTATTGACAGACGAAGACCGAAATAAATGGATAAAAACCAAAATATATTGTGGTTTATATGGAAACTCTTGATGACAGGCCGCGCTAATGGAATCGGTAGCATTTCTCAATCTGTCTGACTGTCAATTAAATATGAAAATTATTTTTGACCAACCCACCAGCTTGACTGCTTGCAAATTCTGAACAATCTCATGCGGCAGGCTTCAAATTGAAGGCTGCTAAAATGAATCTAGTTACACACACTCATACTCTATGCATAGACAATTAACGTCTCAATTCATAATTGTCATCGTATTTTTGTCGCTCTTAATTAAAAAAAAAAACTCAATTATTTGATATGCCCACTAATGGGGTTTGAATCTCCGCCAGTCCAAAAGCAAACGAGCTTTTGCTATATATCTTAATTGTTATTTGTATTTAATTATATGGCAAGTCAACAAAAAATTGCTTATAAATAGAAAACCATAAATGAACAGGCAATGAGTTTTGTGTTTTTGTTGATTAACGAGGAAATTGATGTATTGATTGATTGCGTAAAGCTTTCAAGTTTGACTCTGTTATCGTAAGCCATGGTAAACAAGTTAACCATATCTTATGTGTTTTAAGCTTGTTGTGGCACAAGTTGGCAGCGTCATAAAAGAGTTAAAGATAAGGCTACGGTAAATCATCGTGATTTACAATCAATAATACCTGTTTTTTAGCAAGATAATGAATATTCAATATTATATGACATTTTAAAGCTACATGTATAAGGCTAAAGATAAATAGGTTTGCTGGAAAAAATATATAGTTTCAAGTCTCATATCTCCTCGTATGTAATGTCTATAAAAATATAACAGTATCTATCTATTTATTCCAATTCCAATGACTAATAAATGCTTTTTTTCTTTTCCTTTCAGGTGTGTACTCCATAACAATATACGACTCAACAAATTCTTCTATAATAACACAGGCTAAAGTACTTAAGAAACATATAATTTCGGCACATACTTCATAATAATTTGTCTAGCTAGTGATCCTTACTTAAGTTAAACAATTTCTGCACAAACAGCCATAATCTAAGAACCATATCTCTAGCTATTAACATGCAGGAAATTTTGTCTGTAGTCAATGCCATCATTAGCGTAATAATGCCGCCGCACTGCAATCAAATTCGAGACCAATTTCAAGAATTCACAACTCACATTATGACATTTGACCAGCTGGGGGAGTGCACATAAAACAATTTAATAAACCCATGAAAAATCTAAAAATGCGATAAGTATGCCCACAACAGAAACTCAAACTCAAACTGGATACACATACACACATATGTGGTAATAAAAATTCCTTAAATAAACATATGAGGCGAGTGAACTAGTGAGAGGGGAAGAGTTCAGCGTAATGGGACAAAGCCATATCAAGTACGCGTGCTCGCAACTATCTGGCCAATGTAATCAGCCAAGAAGCTGAGACCCCAACAAAGATTTCAGACTACTAGTGAGAGAGAGAGAGAGAGAAATATAGAGAGACCCAAACGCAAGCGCTGCCGCGTAATGTCGCTTGTTAGTACTAATGATGGGTAACTTCTCGACATGCTCGCTTCTTGCGCCCCAATACGCCAGCAGATGCTTAGTTTTAATAAATAAACATATGCTCACATATACGATATGCAGATACTCTATAAGATCTGTTTGTAGATGCTGTGCGCTAGCTAGAATGAATAGAAGGAATGTTACTCCAGCAAACATATTTTGTATGGAAGACTATTCAGTTGAGATTCTCGAATACCTAATATTATTTCAACCTTTATTTAGATACAATTCTTATACTAAAGTATATTTATGCTCCTTAGATAACATATTTCATTACAGTTAAAAATAACAGACATTTAAGACGAACGATATATCTATCATATTTCTTATCTGTCTATCAATTACATTTATCATCTATATACCTATCTACTGTATTTTTGATCTATCTATATCTCTTAATCGTCTCTTAGCTTAAGTTTTCTATACAGTAATAGTATAGTAAAAATAGTAATTTTAATGAACTCAGCTGTATCTGCATTGATCGACCTTCCGGCCCCTTTGTTCTGATCTCTATTTTTCACTCGCATTTCCGATCTCTAGTTATTTAGATCTATATCTAGCTGATATATCTATCGATCTGACAGTTCTGTTTATGTTCTATACTTTTTGCAATATTTGCTGTACACCACTTAAAATTAGAATTTCATAAAAAACCCTAAACACCTTTTTTGAAAGTATAAATATACTTAAGAGTCAGTTGAGTCCATAAAATTAAGTTCCTAAGTTGACCTATGCACACAAATAAAATCTTTTTAAGCTAGCTTTGCAAGCTTCATTACGTAGTGATTAGGCTCAATTGGAGTGTAGTGCATGCAAACGCAAAATAAATTTGTACGGCTGCGATAGAAGCCGCGCGATATGCCGCCAAAATGTGGCCAGGCACAATGATAGCGCTGAGGCGATGAGGATGGCGATGCGGATAGGGATGGAGAGATGGCGTTGTCCATTCCGCATGTATGTCATAAATTGCCTTGGCCAACAACAACAAGGTTTGGTAACTATGATGGGGCTGGCATTGGAGCAGTCTAACTGGGGGCACGCTCAGGTCCCAGGCCAGCAGCCAGGCCAGGTCCAAGTCCACGTCCACGTCCACGTCCACGTCCAGGCCCAGGCAGTTGCGTCTAAGCACTAAAAATTAATAGCCAGCATAATAAGCGGCATTTTATGACAAGCGTGCACCTTAACGCAGCAGTTAGCCACGCCTCACAGTCAGAGAAATCCAGCCAGGAACTAACTTTAGCTAGCTCCTGGCCCCCTCCCCGAACACCCACCAATGATTTCTCATGGCATCGCACGGCAACAGTCATTGGGTTCAGGTGAGGGATCAGCTTTTTTGCCTGTACTCACTTGAAAATTACGCAAATTGAAAGTTACATCGTTTGGGCTGGTGACGCGGATGACCGAAATGGGCATTAGGCTAGTCGGCAGGCAGCAGGAGGTGACCAGTTGTACCCACTGTACCCCTACTCGCACACTGCCTTCTGCTCTGCCATACAAAGTTATGAGCTTCATATTGGCGCTACAAGATTCCGCTTTATGATAATTACACGCCGTCCCCAGCGCCATTTTATTTATATGTGAGAGCCAGACAACAGCAGCAACAGCAGCAGCAGAAGATTTGGAAAATTGAAAAACTTTTGCTCTGTGTGTGCGCGCATGGAAAATATATGGCCGATTATGTAAGAGCTTATGGTAGTATATCGCTATTGAGGCGGTTTGTCCGGCTTATATAAAAACGAGCTAATGACTTTTAGAGTTTAATTGAAATGACAATTGCTATGCAGCCAAATGAGCAACAAGTGCACATTAATTAAGCTAAGTGAAATTATTATTAATGGCATATTTTGCCAACACGAGTAATCGAATGGAGGGATGTAGCTGAGCGAAAGAGCTAGCTAAGCTAAGTTGAACTCATTTGAACCAGGAAATTTTGTAGATTTTTAGTATATAACAGAACAGTTCCTAACTGTAAACATAACCTTAAAAAATGAAAGAACTGTGAGAAAAACTCTCGGCTGTTAGCTACAAAGAGTTTCATCTAGCCATAAAACGCATTTGGCCTAAGCACATACCATATTCCTTTACTATGATATGCCAATAAGAGCTCAGGGCTGCCTCTTGCAGCAGAGTGAAAGACAGAGGGAGAGAGAGATAGAGAAAGATCTAAGTCACTTCATATTCATTAAGATTTTACAACTGCCTACGTCGTACTAAAAAAAAGGCAAACCATAACCGTAAACTAACTTTTATGATACACTAGAACCCAAATGGGAAAAAGAATTTAAAAATTTTCGATTCGAAGCCCAAAAATAGTGCAATCATAAAAATGATTAAGTGATAACTTCATACGGTAATACTGAATATTATGGTAAGGCAAATGGCCAATAACA